CACCGCTTACGCTACTAGCTGATGGCGCAGTCCCTGATGAAGCTATGACGCGGCATCAGGCCTTAAGCTGAACTGTCTGTTGAGATAAACTGTTTGTGCGTAATCACGAAAATCACGTGGATTGACTGTTTGATTATTGAACTCTTATCTGCTTGCGACAGTAAGCCTGTAAAGGACGTTCAAACATAGGTTAGGACTTCAAGATTGTTTCACCCTACTATTCATTATTTTGAATGGTTGCTCTCGTAGCTGATGGCTTTCATTTTCAGTTATGTCTTCAAAGCTCAATCATCGTATATCCATTTTGAGTTATCTCGTTCAAAAAGGTACTGTGTTCAACCAGAAATAAGTATAGACTCGAACTTGGTTTGCTGCCTCTTCTGCCATAGTCTTGTAGAAGAATATGAACTCAACATTGAGCAGATTCAAGTAATGCAGCAAGCTTTGAAGTCCATATTTTGACGTTTTACAATGTAGTCCAGTTTTGACCGTCCAAAATTTCGTAACGGATTCGTTTCGGTGTTCCGCGTTTGAATCTGCGAGCCTATGGCAAGTCGTGACGGGACCATGTCTGCTCACTATTCATTCCATCCAGTCTCTGCCTAGCATGATACCAGCGCTTTGCGCAAACGTAAGCATAATCCCTCCTACTGCAGAAACACCTTTCAAGCTACATTCTAGACGGATCCCGATTGGAACAGACTATCAGGGACCCGTCATACTTCGCCGAAAAAAGCCCAAAAGCGCTCAAAAAAGCCCAAAAAAGCCCGAAAAAGCCCAAAAAAGCCCGAAAAAGCCCAAAAAAGCCCAAAAAAGCCCGAAAAAGCCCGAAAAAGCCGGAAAGCGCCAGAAAGAGCCGGAATGTAGAAACGAACTTTTGGTAGAACTCTGACATTATCTTATCATGCGGACGACAGAAAATGACAAAAAGGCTCGATTGTGAAGCCAACACACATGCGTTAGCGCCAAAACGTGCGAGAAGTGTCCCGGCTCTTTCTGGCGCTTTTGGGCTTTTTTCGGCTTTTTCGGGCTTTTTTGGGCTTTTTCGGGCTTTTTTGGGCTTTTTCGGGCTTTTTTGGGCTTTTTCGGGCTTTTTTCGGCGAAGTATGACGGGTCCCTCAGAACATAAGCAAGCAAAAACTTGTTGTTACTCTATGTCTGCAATTTTTGTTGTTCAAGGGAGTCGCAGCGGCTGTCTATCACTGCTTATCATAGTTGTTTTGGGCTTTTGTTTTCTTTCGTACACACTAGGCTATTGATCCTAATACTTCTAGAAATACGTAGAGATTTATTTCAAACTTCATCATTATCGCTATCATCATCAAAATTGTAAGCAATCCCTCAAAATGACTGTTTACTAAGAGATCATCGAAAACTTGCTAAGAAGTCTGCATCTGCCGACCTAATGATATCATTTCTCGCAGCTCTGTAACTGTTCTGATCGCATACATTTTCGCTAACGATCTTTGAAGGATGCAAAGAAATCAAGGAATCAAGAATCAGTAGACTATCTCCGCTAGACATTTGAACGGTTCCTATTCCCATACAGTTCTCGCCATTCTCTCTCACGAGTTGCGGCCAAATGACCATACATCACGACATTGGATCACAACATTTTATGTAGCAACTTGGAAGTTTACCTTGTATGTGTGCGAAAAAGGTTTCAACGAAGAAATCTAAAATAATTTACCAACAAATCTAGAGAAAACGAAACTTGGAGATTAAACGAGCAAGATTCTGTTGCACTTGTAATACAATTTCTGTTATTGTTTTCCGACTATTCTGTTTTTATTTGACAGGAAACAGAGTGTTTGGAAAAAAAACCTGTTATGTGCTTAAAAAAATTTCTTCTAATCGTTCTTTTTTTGGCGAGAGCCATACGAAGGATATATAGAAACAAAAATATTTTTTTGGGGAAGGGGGGGGGGGGGGAGTGAAAGGGTCTCATAAAGTTCTAAACTGCTCAAAAATTTTGTTTTATATACGCTGTTGAATGAATACGTAAAGTACAGTAAAGTGCATATAAGACAAGAATCATTCAAAAAAAAATCTGTCTAGTTACTATCTTAGAAAAGGACATGGTTTTTTCGGGAATGCTTCAATTTGTTTCGGTATCTGCCTTTATTTTGCTAAAATTCTTTGACCGAATTTGGTTTTGTCCTGTCTTAGATTTGCATGTTCAAAGTATGTTGAGAAAAGCATTCAAAATGTCCCTTACAACAATTCTAAGACTTGTCATGAATGGTCTGCTCAACCTTGCCAAGCTATTCGTTCTCCCAACGGTTCAAGGGCGACAGCATTGTTTTGACTAGACAAACTATGACGAACTAGCATTTGCTATCATTAGCATGATTCGACAGTGAAATATCGTGATGCAAAGCGCATACGATCATTAGTTCAGCCACCATGAATTCCCCTTCATCACGTGCCAAAGCTCCTGAACAAAATGACAGGTTGTGTTGTGAATGGGGGCAATAATTTGGCTAATTAAGATTCGACATTGGAGGCTCGCAAAGCACTTTTGAATCTTGAAATCATTGTGAAAAGAAGGATAAAGGATAGAGATGTGATAAACATGATTTTCATAATTATGATCTGGATTAGAGAAGCATCTTACTTTTGCGAAGTACAAAGTTGTCCCGAAAGTTCAGTCTTTTCATTTTTGAAGACTTTTTGCTGCTTTACGGATTTGCTTCTTTGTGTTTTTGTTGAAAAAAAACGTTCTTTTTTGCGAATATGTATTGCCAAGCCTCTAATATGCACTCATTGCAGAGAAATGAAATTAGATCATCCAAGTTTTGCTCATTTTAGCATAGGCCTCCAAAATTCTGGAATGTTGCGGAAAAATTTGAAACCGACATTACAAAAGTTTTATGGACTATTTCTCACAAATGAGAAAAAATTATACTGTTCAAACGTCTCTGTGAAAAGTTGTGAATTACGAGAAGAATGACGAATCAGTCAGTCTCGTTTCCTGTTTAAACTCGAAAATCACAGCTTCTCGCAAAAAATGTCCTAACAGTAGAGACTCTTTCTTGCAAAAAGTAGATCATGAAACCTAAGTACTCACGATTTCAGATTTTTCCTGCAACGCTCCAGATTTTTGGCAACCTAACTCAAAACAATCATAGCCTGAGTGGTCTTCTTTTTTGTTTTAATCTTCGCAAAGAGTGTATAGTAGAAGCTCAAGAAGATGGCTTTAGAAAATGGAGAATTTCTTCTTTCCGCAAAATTACAAAGGAGCAAATCCGTCGAGATCACTAAAAGTTACAAATACAGAACTTTCGGGACAACCTAATATGTGAGGAACTGACAAAGAACTTTTCGCCGTCAAAATTTCAACCTAGATGAACATGACGTGCAAATGACTATAGTTTTGCAATTGCATTGTTATCCACTACCTCTTCTCAGAATTCTTCCATTTTTTGGTTTTTACAGTGTTTGCGTGAACTAGCACCTCTATGAAAGCAGTTCAATAGTTCTAGCGCTTTGATTAACGAACGGTGAAAATTTGCCAAACTTTAAGGCCTCAAAAATTGTCAAAACTTAGTTTTCATGTGTGGCATGTTCACATCAAGAGTTTTATGTAATTTGTAATTTAGGACTATGAGATATTCCCCCAGGATAAAAGTTTATCAACTACTGATTTGCTCAAATGTACTTGGGACTCAGATGCACTTTTGATCTTGCTCTTGGCTATCATTCTTGTACGTTCACACTCTCATTCGTATCAGCAACTGTTGGATTTTACGACTGTAGGTCACCGCTGTACAGTTGCTAGGTTGAGTTCAAGAAGTCAATCAGTTAGCAGTTCATAAGGCCATCCACTAAATTCTGCCCTCTTGTGGGTCTTGCTTACAAACCGCTAAAAAACGGGTATTTTTGCACTCTATTCATTGTATATTCATCCTTTCGAACACCTTTCCCCTCCCACTCTGTGTGCATTTGAAAAGTGCATTGAGAAGTACAGGGTATTTTGGATTTTGTCCGCATGTTGGGCTTAATCTAGGAAATGTTGAAAAGAACCTTATACTAATATCCCGCACTTTACTGAACTGGTTTCGGGAAAGAGGAAATAACTGTAGTAGAAATGGATGGCTTGATTCTAACCAAGACCTGAACTTTGGAATTTATAGATGAAAATGATATATTGTGATTCTCTTCAGAAATTCTTCTACATTTTTGGTTAATCATGAAGATTTTGATTATTGATAATACAGCTGAAATAATGAATAGCTTATATAATGTCAATATAAGTATATGATACTTAAAATTAGGATATTGGAGGTACAGCACCCAAATTCTTGGAAAAAAATCTTTAAAAAATTCTTTCGACAGATGTTATGCACTTCTTATGATATACTGAACATAGAGCATATACTAATTTCGCTCGTATCGTAAATAACCAAAGCGATTAAATTTTGATATCATAGCTCGTGGAATCATTGTATTGGACAATCGAAAAAATATGGCTACAAAGGGTAGGTTATAGAACCTATGATGAGAATGACGATATTTGCGTATTTTTGGCCATTTCTAAGGCTCAAACGATTTGGAAAAATTTGTATGGACCAGTTTCTCACTGCTCAATATGTTAGCAATAATCACTAAGACTAGCAAATACTGGTCCTTTATGTTCCAAGTCTCCAGACTTTGAGGGAACTTACAAATTTGGGGCCACAGCTGTGCCAAAAGAAATGCTCTCCTAGGAAAAAACAATTTTGGGCCACAGCTGTGTTAGAAGATGTGCCATGGGGAGAAACATACGAATTCGGGTTGCAGCAGTGTCAAAAGATGTGTTCTGGGAAGGAACTTACAACTTTGGGCCACAGCTGTGTCAAGGGATGTGCTTTGATCAGAGCACCATCGATCTCTGCTGCAAATTTCATACACCAGCAGAGATTGTGAGAGCGTAGTGGATGTCATTATTGCGTCAGCGTTGAGCAATAGTCCGTAATAGCCACGCCTCATCGCTGACGATGTCTATAAAAACACGTCTAGGTCTATCCTTCAATCTAATTACGACTACTATTCTAAACAATGTGTGGTATATTTGCTATTTGCCATCATGGATGCGCTGAGAAATTCGATTTGGAGAAGGCGAAGCAGTTATCCAGGTAAGGGGACGAGTTTTCGCCGGAGGAAGTGCGAAAAGATTTTCAATGGGTTTTATCTTGAAGCAGACAAGCTCATCGTGGTCCGGATTTTCGTGGGTCCTATGTAGATCCATCCACTGGTGACATACTTTGCCATGAACGATTGGCCATTATGGATTTGGGAATCACCCAACCTATTGCTGGAAGTGTTCCAACACACCAGGTGATTTTAATCAAAAAATTATTTTTTTTAATCCGTGGCATTTATTTTGTTTTCATACTACAGGTCATTCACAATGGCGAAATCTACAACCATTTAAGCTTGAGGAAAAACGAACTACAAGGGAAGCCTTTGCGCACACACTGTGACTCCGAGGTTGGATTTATAAAGAGTCTGTAACATTCTTTGAAAAATATCAAATTGCAGGTGATTATCTTCTTATATGAGAAGTACCGTGATTCTATCGGAACTATGTGCAACATGCTCGATGGTGTATTCGCATTTGCACTTTGCCACGATGGAGAATTTCTGGCTGCAAGAGATCCACTTGGAGTTAAGCAAATGTACTATGGGATCGACAAACTTGGAAGATATTTTTTCAGGTCAGCGACTTTGATTTTGGCACATAATCATTATTTCTTCATGTCTCTATACTGGCTTTCTTGACCAGGCAATAAATTAGAAAAAATCAAAAGTCAATGATTAGATGCAAAAATTTTTTGCAAGCTACACATGAATATCAGTAACGTGGTTGTTAACAATTATGTAAATGTATCGGTGGTGATCCCATGATCTTTTTCCAGGAAAGGACAATAAGAAATTTTTTGAGCTTTCCAAGTCTTTTCGGAGCTTCTACCCCGAAGCCCAGGAATTAAATTTTCATGGGGCACATCTCACCCTTCAAAATTTTCTGAAATTAATTTGATTATTTGCAAAGAAAAACTAGTTTTTTGGAATTCCCGAGACCCTTTTTCTAATAATTATGTAGCTATTCCGCCACATACTATCAGCGTTGCTTGATCATATCAATTTTTACCTACCCTTCTCTTTTCGAACCTTTTTAATTCATCTTTGCATCATGGTTCTTCATGTTTGTACTAACCTGAAGCCGAACAAAAGATTTTTATTGAATCTAAGAATATATAGTAGCTTTTCGATAATCAAACAAGAAAGATTTGCTCAAATGGATGCACATTTGTGCAGCTTTATCTTTGCGATATATGAATCTATTAATATTCATTATTGCCAATGCGATTTTCAATCGTGTCTTTAAAGAAATGTTTGGAGTGAATTCTACGTCAACTAATGTGGGACATTATGACAAACTTTCACAATCAGGCTTTATCTCCTGGAAACCCTGAAAACCTAATTTGTTGAGTATCATATCAGTATCATATAAAGAAACATGATACACAATGATATCAGACTTTTAATTCTCTTTTCAAAAAATTTACCCAAATATTCATGTCTGAATAGTAAATATAATCTCATACCAAGAAGGTGTTTACCTTAGATTGGAATGTCATAAAATTTTGTTTGTTTTATGTGTGCTTTGCTTGGATTTATCGAATTGTGACTTCTTTAACTGAAAAAAATTACAGTAGATAATTGGTTCTCAAGATCTACAGGAAATACAAGTTAGATCGCTCAATAGGACCTACATAGTGATCTAAAATTTTTAGAGGTCCCAAAGTCCCACATGATTGATACACAATTCTCCAGAAGACTTAGTTTGCTTTTCAAAATTCTTGAGGATCATAATAGAATGTTATCACCATTTCTATCTCATTAGAAACATTTATTTTTGTGATAGAATGTATGAATCAGTATATCTCATGAGCTGACATCCGCCCAACTCCTACTACTGCTGAGCATTTTAGCAACGAGATGAAGACCTTTGAAGACATCTGTGGACAAGACACTTTGGCCATTTTTCCTCCTGGTCATTACTTCCAACCCGACAAAGGATTTGTGAGATACTACCAGGTAAGGAAGTAAATGTCTCTGTCTTTTTCTGAAATTATTTTTGCAGCCAGAGTGGTTCGACTATCGCTTAGCCACCCACGATGGCGATCTCAAACTCATCCATGACACTCTAGTCAATGCAGTTATCAAGCGTCTCATGTCCGACGCTCCACTCGGCATTCTCTTATCAGGAGGCCTGGATTCTAGCCTGGTTAGGTAAGTAAACGGACACCTGGAGATACCATCCCTTGCCAAATTTGACGATAAGATAAGGCAATGGCTTAGAATGTAGCCCGCAAGTTCAGTCATTCTCTCTTGAGTACGGATGAGGCTAAAGTTTACGCTCAATAACAGCTGAAACAAAGCCCTGAGCTTGGAAATTTCATCTAATTAGCTCTTAGGAAATTGAATTCTCCATTATCAATGAAGTCGTCGGTTATGTGATGAAACGGAGAAAGGGAAGCATCAGCCTCGTAGCGGTGGCCAAAACAAATTGTTCCACAAATCGTGCGAACAAGATGAACGAAGACGCTCGATTCGTTTTCTCATACAATCTTTTGTTGCGAAAAGTGTTGAAGGGTCTGACAAACTATCTCTACAAAAGCTCTCATTCTCAAAAGTTTTTTTTGACTTTTCAATAATTATAACAATCGTTATGTAATACAAAATTCATCTGGCACAAGAAAAACTGTATGGAATCAAACTATAATTTCTCTCATTCAAAAATAGTTTTGTGTAATTCTTTCGTGCAAGAGCTACAAGACTGCTTGATAGTAAAAAATGGATTTTTCTTGCGGTACGAGTGAGTTCTACTTCCGTTGATGCTCATTCAATGATGTCCCAATTGTATGCAAATTTCCAAGAGCACCACGTTAGGAATTGATCCACCCAAACCATTGTTCTTTTGTTCGAAGCGTATGCAAGAGAAAATTTGCACTTTCTGTTGGTGGATAATATGCTGAAGACCATAAGTGGGCCGCGAAATAGTTAATTGATACACATCTGTGCTGGAAGATTTGAGATTTTTTTATCGAGAAAAAATTATGGAGGCAAAATTTAAGTGAATTAGTGAGTGGAAAGTGTTAAAGTCCTGCGAAGTACGATATTGCTCACAGAACGTGCAAAATTCCGTGAATGTCGCGAAATTAGGAGGAATTCCACGAATCCGCAGTATTCCCGAATTCCCCCACATCCTGCGAATTCCGCGGAATTTCGTGAAATTTTGCGGAGTTTCTGGAATGTAGGGGAATTTTGGGAATATTGCGGATCTCGTGAAATTCCTCGTAATTTCGCAACATTCATGGAAATTCGCGTTCTGTAAGCGGTATTGTAGAGGTGCAGCCCAAGAAGCAAATCGAAGGTCTAATGCGTAAAAGTACATATTATTTACAACGGCTCCATTCTCACACCCCTTCAGCTCCATATCTAAGTCATCAAATAAATAAATAAGCGAATATAACTAATGGAAGCTACTCTTTAGCTCAATTGCCGCTCGAGAAATGAAGCGCCGTGGACTTCCTGTGCATTCGTTCTCCATAGGCGTTGACCAGGACTCTCCGGACATTGTAGCAGCTAGAAAGGTTGCCGAGCACATCGGCACGGAACATCATGAATTTCATTTCAGCGTCGAGGTTTGTTCCACAAATCATGGTTTTTTTGTATTAATCCAACTTAATAATCATAGTTCAGATATTAGACTGTCAATATAGTAGTGTTATTGCAGTGTCGACAATAATTGCGCGTAAAAAAATTAGTCATAAACAACTACTTCGGTTTTCTTGCGGCCATGTTTACTCAGGTACACCATTAAGCATGAAATCAAGAACTGTGCTGTGGTCTCAACATTGCCTTCATGTCAGGTTCACTGTCCTCTCAAAGCCATTCATGTGCAGAATTGAAGTTCGGTTTTTTCATAGTTTTTCGGAAATATTCCCTGATGTTGCAAAGACCGAAAGAATTTTGTCATGACGTTATGTACATAACTTTGTTAGCAGATATCTTAGAAAATTAACCAAGTTCCGCTTTTTGATTCATGAATTTTCATAGTACGTGAACAAAAAAAAATCAGCTGCAGAGAAAAACCAAAGAGCAAGCATGTTTACCCTAAGTTTGTTGAAGTTTTCGGACCTTGATCCTTTGAGGTGTATGAAGCGTCATCAATCTGGCAATTGTTTTTTAGCCACAACTCTTCATAGAGACATATCAATCAAACAAGATCGTGCAGTAGGACCCAGATTCTCCTGTTGTGTAAAAACGAATCTTCATAATTTGCACCCGCAAAAGCTAAAATAACTTCTACCTTGACATTTTATTTAGGAAGGCATCAAAAACCTACGTAACTTGATTTGGCATCTCGAAACCTATGATGTCACATCCATTCGTGCCTCCACTCCTATGTACTTCCTTTCGGAACGGATAAGGCAAATGGGAATCAAGGTCATTTTCCATGATATTATTATACATATCCCTACAACATAGAGATCGTTTCGTTCAGGTGGTACTTTCTGGTGAGGGAGCCGATGAAATTTTTGGAGGTTATCTCTATTTCCATAACGCCCCAAGCGATGAGGAATTCCAGAAGGTTCTTTTTTGTTCAACATGTCTGAAATTGCGATAAATTGTTATATGGCCTTTAGGAGACTGTTGACCGCGTTATCCATCTCTATACAGCTGATTGTCTTCGTGCGGATAAGTCCACCATGGCGCATTCTGTAGAAGTTCGAGTCCCGTTTTTGGACAAGGTATTATGATAATTACTTTTGCATTTCTCCATGGTATAATTTCAGGAATTTTTGGACGTTTCAATCTTGACCGCACCGCGTTTCAAGCGTCCACATGCTATGAATGGACGCGATGTCGAGAAGTACATTCTTCGGAAAGCGTTTGACGCAGATGTGAGCCTTTTGTTGGACCTAATGTTTTTGAGATCTAAATTGTAGAGGATATATGGTAAGAATACGCAAGATTCATTGGCCGGCTAACGCCAATTCATCATTTTTGGGCACATGATCGCACACGCGATGATGCACGCGCCGCGTTCGTGCCGCTTAGCTTATTTAGCCATCCGCCTTCTTCTTGCGACGGTCTCTACAAGCGGTATCCAAAAGTTGAAAATTTGAATTGATGAGAATATGGTATGCTAGAACCTTTCGAAGAATGTAAAATATCATTTCTCGGAAAACTTATTGAAAGGAAGATCTTAAGGCGTGAAAGCAGACGAGGAATTATTATTCGTACAAAAACGAAAAACTCGCTTATTCCATTATAGACATACCTTCCGCATGAGATTCTTTGGAGGCAGAAGGAGCAATTCTCTGATGGTGTAGGCTATTCCTGGATAGATGAATTGATGTCGTACTGCGAGAAACAGATATCTGATGAAGAAGTGAGCTTTTTTGTATAGCTTTGCCATTGAAAACACTGCTGCAATGTCCATAACATTTTTTAGTTCTCCAAAGCAGCTGAGCTATTTCCTCATAACACACCAGCCAGCAAGGAAGCCTTCTACATGAGAAAAACATTCCATGAGCTGTTCCCTAGTGACAATGCTGCTAAGACCGTGCGAAGGTGGATTCCCAAGTGGCAAGAGAATCAGGATCCATCAGGTACAGAAGTCTTTATATTGCTTGAGACCAATAATTTTCTAGTAGTAGTTCATTCCTCCTTTCTCACCTTAGTGTTGCAAACAATAAATTCTGCGTTGAAACGCAAATCAAAGGAATTTTGTTTAGGTCGAGCCTCTCTCGTTCACAAGCAGTCCATACATCAAATGGAGAAACTGACTGAAGTGAATCGAATGGAAACGAGACCTCATCATGCATGAACCAATGAATTCAAAGATCACTACCTCAATATCCAAACCTCATTCAGGTGAACAGCACTGATGTATTTATCATCCATTAATTCAGGTCCTCTCATTGTTCTTTGCCTTTTTTTTCAGAAGAACTCGAATGTAAAAATTGTATCCACTCTCCTTCACCATTTTGGCCTTACCGATTTTGATTCAAATTATATACTCGGCTTTGTATTGAGTGGAGTTGTAAATAAAGTTTTCTACTCAGCAGATAAATTTGGCCAGAATATGCTCACATTGAGTATATTGAAATATGGGTTGGTTTTAACTAGAAGGGAAATATGCAGCAACGTTGCATGCAAATATTAAATCTCTTCAAATCAAGCTCAGATAGCGTTCCTCAGAAAAGCTGATTTAGTGTCAAAAGACATGTACATTTGTGTTCAAGTTATTTCAAAACAGTGTGGATACCTGGGTTACGTATAGGCAGCATCCACCCAAATCCGTCTTCCATGTTTCTGTGATTTATGTTCTTCCCATGGCCCAGAAATATGAAGTGCAAAATGTACAAAACTCCCAAAAACCCGATTTCCGAGGGCCTTGTTCTGAATGCACAGACGCTTTCAGTGCCGATTGGGCGGAGCTTGATAAGGCGGGTGTAGTTTCAACTTTCGCGGGTTCCAAATTCATTTTTTCCATTCATAGGCCACATTAGAGGACCACACCAAGCAGATGTCCTACTCCTAGGGCTTTCTCGTAGACTAGGTACTAATTGGGAGAACATGGATTTTGGCTGCACGCTGCCTTTGAGTGAAAACCGCTTGGAAAAACTTCAAGTCACTGCCCAAGCAGCATCTCGTGCTATTTATAGCCGAGAGATTTGAATCTAAAATCTAGCGACAATGCCTTCTACCGCAGTCTAGCAAGTGATTGGCCCGCTAGAGAAAATTACAGACGGGGCAAGTAATTGTCTCATTTCTCAGCCATCAAAAAAGCATACGAGCATATAAAGTTACGATCGAAGTAGTCTAAATCACTGCTATGCTAGTCTGAGGTCTTCGCCAAAGGAAACGGACAGTATCCCGCTAACATGGCTAGGGTTGTAAGACTTGCAAGACGTTTGGAACAAGAAGTTAAAAGCAATGTTCGTGCGAATCAAATTTTTGCTTGCCTGGGCATAGACATTACGCTAAGGCCTAAGGCATACCTCGCGCGATTCCGGTCGCTGCGCGATTTGGCACAACAGCGACTCTTCGTAATTCGTCGTTAATGCGCTGTCGCTGGTCAAAACTTGCTCCATTTGCAACAACTTATACAAGCTACCCATATATGCATCCGAGAAGTGCGCACGATAAATTTGTAGAAATCTGGCAAATCGCCAAGGTGCGTGAAAGTGGCGATTCGGCCGAAACGCGTGAGGTATGCCTTAGGCCTAAGTCAGAAAATCCACATTGAAAAGCGCGAAAATGGCGAGATCGCTTTCCCCAAAATTCTAATATCAACTTGAACGAGCGAAAAAGCTTTTGCCAAGATGACTTAGAGTTGCTGTAGGACATTCAATGACGGGAGTACGAGCGTGTAAGAAACTCAAGAGAACAAAATGCATTACGCTCAGCAAGTTAACAAAACGCCTTTATAGCAATGAAATACCTGTGTCCCAACCTACAGCTAATCGTACATACATAATTAGAGACTAGAAGATTTAACTCAATCCCCCACCCGAGATTTGGAGTCATCCAAATAGGAGAGTGAATGTTTCGGTTGGAAACTAAATGGTAGATATTCAACGCGCAAGATTATCTCAAAAGGTTCATTATATGAACTTTCCGAAAGTATGCTGAGAACCAACAATGTTGGTTCAGTGAGGTTCTGGAAAGCGTTAAATGAGGTTCTGGAAAGCATCAACTCCGAAAACGGTAATTAGCTTTTAAATTGCAGTACCCACACTATATATTCGACAGAAAACGCAAAAACTGACGATCCGCGTTTTTCTTCGTTTTCTCTTCATAACTTCCTTTAGACTGCATAAAATATGAATACGAGGAAAGCATGATGTTCAGCTCGTCAAGATAAACCTTATAGTATACTACATCTCTTACTATTCCGTTTTCACTCTGCTCAATTTTTGTGTGAGGACGGGTTTTGGTAGCGGTGTAACTCAGCGAGGAAAACACATGGAAGATTCTAGTAAGCATGCTTTGGTAGAGCTGTTCACGTAGATTATCATGCGCTAGCGAGTAGCGGAGGACGACCCCTTTTCCATAGAGAAAGAAAGGCTGGTGAATTTCGAAAAAACTGATGTCTCTCAAATTTTAGTTACCGTACAGTAAGACGCTAAATTGCAATGCAGGTGTGTTTTTCGTGAGCAGCAGGCTATACAACCTCTATGCGCAAGACTTCCAGAAAATTCGAGCCCTTTATTTTTTTTTCTCGTTTCAGGCTTTGAAGCTTGCCTACTGGTTTTGGCTAAAATATTGATGATCTTGGATTGACCGGAAACTCCGCCCACAGAAGTGCTTTTTGTCTGCACCGTAAGCTCTTTTAGCAGGGTTATGCTGAGAGTGATGTTGCGATACTACACAAGTTCCTAGATTTGTCTGCCCTTCTCGCGTATCTGTTGAGCAACTTACCTGCTCCTTTTTGTAATTTGAAATCACTAGAGACAATGCTCTCAGACATGCTCAAGCTAACCCTTTATCTGTATTGAACGCTGAACTGTAAGCTTGCGAATTCACGTCCTCATGAAAATCTTTTGAAATTTTAAGATCGCATATTTTGGCCAAAAACCGCTGCGAATGGTTGCAGATCACTCTGATTGCAGCTATTACGTTTATATACAGGGTGTCCCAAAAGTAAGTACACACTTTTCAATCGTCAATATCTCTCTTCCCATTGGGTCTTTTTTGCCAGTTAAGTACCATTCTGTAGAGGAGGCTTCAACTTGGATTTACAGTATCGATCGAATCACCGATTGCACCTTGTTACTGTAGGATTACGGTAAGAACTTCCAGCATATGGAACCATTGTGGGATACGCCATCTGACGAAAAATTTTTTCAAAAGTCTGAAAAATCGCATACTAGAGTTTTCGCACACTTTGATTCCATACACAACTTTTTACAAGTGTTTTCAGCTTTTTTGATGGTGTAATCACAACTCTGGCAAATACTGGGAAATCGGTTATTACGGTTTACCTGGGATAACTTTGAAAAGAAGTATCACAGAAAATTGAAAGTTTCATATTCGAAATCAGCGGCTTCCACTACCATAGTATAAGAGTTTTTGGCTTGTTTGGTCTTGTTCCGAGGCAGAATATGACTCCAATGGCCTAAAATCCTTGCCGAGAGTTCCTACAGTAATCCTACAGTAATGAAGAGAGATCGGTGATCCGCTCGATTTTGTAAACCTAAGTTGAAGCCTCCTCTACACAATGGTACTTAAATGGTGGAAAAAGACACATTAGGAAGAGAGATATTGACGATTGAAAAGTGTGTACTTACTTTTGAGACAGCATATATATATATATATATATATATATATATGTATAATGTGTGTGTAAATTGATAATTCTAGTATAGCACACTCGCTTATACTTACTTACCCCCTGTGCCAAATTCTTACATCTGTACGTCAAAGTTTGCAGAAAATCTATAGAGTCGGTAAAGACAATTGTTCTTGAAAACTAATATTGTGACCGTAATCAGCACCCTCACCCATCTACTTATACCATTCCCAGCCAGGTAGCTCAAAGTTCGCAGAAGTCGATAAATCGATATCGACCGATGACGAAATGTGGTCTACGATACCAGCTCGGTCCCTAAGTTATGTGCTGTTGGGAACATGCGCACAGACACACAGACACCTACAAACAGACATTCACTTAAGTTTAATATGTTAGAGATAAATAATAACAAAAACAGTTGGAATTCTAAAGTCTGTCAATCTCATCATGAAAATTGTAGGCGTCGTCTTGCAACCGTTCATCACTAGATGGGATGAAGGCGTGGGTCATTCACTATCTGCAGTTCTAAAGCTAGTCATTCTTGCTAATCTATCAATGCTCTTGAATCTCTGCGTGCGCGCATCGCCGCTGAGTGCATTTTCGTTCTATTTTAGACACCATGACAAGATAAAACCATGATTTCCATCAAAGCGTATTGTGTAGTTTGGCTACGGATGAATTATTCAATTATGAAAATCGTGGTTTTACCTGTGCATTGCATTTTCGTTGTGCTTTAGACACCATGACAGGTAAAACCACGATTTCCATAATTAAATTCATCCGTTCATGGTTTTATCTAGTCATGGTGTCTAAAATACGCAGAGATTCAAGAGCATTGATAGATAAGCAAGAATGACTAGCTTTGAACTGCAGTTAGTGAATGACCCACGCCTTCATCCCATCTAGTGATGAACGGTTGCAAGACGACGCCTACAATTTTCATGATGAGATTGACAGACTTTAGAATTCCAACTGTTTTTGTTATTATTTATCTCTAACATATTAAACTTAAGTGAATGCCTGTTTGTATGTGTCTGTGTGTCTGTACGCATGTTCCCAACAGCACATAACTTAGGGACCGAGCTGGTATCGTAGACTACATTTCGTCATCGGTCGATATCGATTTATTCTGCAAACTTTGAGCTACCTGGCTGGGAACTGGTATAAGTAGTTGGGTGAGGGTGCTGATTACGGTCACAATATTAGTTTTCAAGAACAATTGTCTTTACCGACTCTATAGATTTTCTGCAAACTTTGACGTACAGATGTAAGAGTTTGGCACAGGGGGTAAGTAAGTATAAGCGAGTGTGCCATATTAGAATTATCAACTTACACACATATATATATATAAACATAATAGCTGCAATCAGAGTGATCTGCAACCATTCGCGGCGGTTTTTGGCCAAAATATGCGATCTCAAAATTTCGAAATATTTTCATGAGGACGTGAATTCGCAAGCTTACAGTTCGGCGATCAATACAGATAAAGGGTTAGCTTGAGCATGTCTGAGAGCACTGTCTCTAGTGATTTCAAATTACAAAAAGGAGCAGGTAAGTTGCTCAACAGATACGCGAGAAGGGCAGACAAATCTGGGAACTTGTGTAGTATCGCAACATCACTCTCAGCATAATCCTGCTAAAAGAACTTACGCTGCACAAAAAGCACTTCTGTGGGCGAAGTTTTCGGTCAATCCAA